CAGGGGGTAGGAACTTTGAGAGTAGAGACTCTGAGCTGGGGATGGAATAAGGAAAGGACAGAGAAGGTCAACCAGAACTATATCCAAATGTTATCTGTCCTGATCAGTTGTCTTCCTGGAAGCTAAATCTGAGAAGCTACTGGACTTTAGAACCCCTTCCTTCCTAAGATGACAGTGATTTGATAACTTCTGGGAAGCATGACACTCAGCTCTTAGGTTATGATGATAAAGTTGTACAACTCTTCACTGGACTCTTACTTACCATCCCCTCAAGCTATTATCCTATGTCTCTCCTTCCCTTTCTCAGCCACAGTCCTTCAAAAAGCCTTGCACATAGAGGTACTATTCCTGGCAAGCCAAAGGGCTACCTCATCATCAGAGACTTATTGAAGGAGGAAATAATGGGGCAAGATGAAGGGAGATGAGGGTTGAAGAAAAGGAGCCCTTGTTGAATAACCTCAGTTTTTTAAGTGATGGATGAGTTGAGATGTTCAGCAGAGAAGGTAGAGATGGAGGAAGGCTCCAGGAGATATAAGAGGGTTTAGTACAGCTGCTGTGGAGAGTGGGATGGAGAGTTGATTAGAGAGGGGTAGAATGATCACTTTGCTGCAGTGAGGGTGTAGTTGAGATTATATAACACATTTATATTGGAACTGATATGCTCTTATGATTTCCTACAGCTCTAGTTAGCAGCACATGAATCGGAGGGAATGAGGAAGAATGTAGAAGTGACCCAAGATTGGGTTTTGGCAAAATGTTGCCAATGGTAGGACAAAGGGCAAGGGATTCAAGAATATAGAGTTGAATTGTATACTGAGGGGTTTAGATAATGAAAAGAGGAGAAAGTAGTTGATGAAAAGGTAATAATCTGTGAAAGAACTTAAGGATGGAGGGAATGAAGGTTATAGTGAGGATAAAAAACATAGGTGTGGAAATACATAGGGAAAGATAGAATATTATGGATTATGATCAGACTGAAGAATTTTGGAGTTAAAGACCTTAGAAGTGGAACACTTGTGGGTGATGGCAAGATCAAGAGAATGATCATTTTTTTGTGCAGGAAGCTCAGGAAGAATGGCAGGAATAAATCATGTGAACTGAGTAGATTGAAAAAAATGGAAGTTAGGGTATTTGAGAGACCATCAATATGTATATTAAAGTCCCCTAATAAGAATGTAAGAGTTGGGGTATTGAGAAACTATGAACCAGGAACTGAATTTATTGAGGAAAGGATAATGTCCTAGAGTTCATTAGATAACAGCCATCAGGATTTGGATTGGGGGATAAGTTTGGAAACCATACACCTCAAAGGAGGAGATCCTGCTGAGTGACAGTGATAGAAGTAGAGTCTAGAACTGGCAATGAGGAGCAAGGGGCATTCCAACTGCTACCACAGCCAGTGAGTCAGAGGTATGAGTGAAGTGCAACCAATATTGGAAAGGTTGGAGAGGGAAACAGAGTCAGCAAGCAGAACTTGGGTCTTAGTACCATGAGATGGAAGGAGTAAGAAAGAGTTTTATATGAAAGGAAGACTGTTAAATAAGGAGCAAGAATTCAGAGAGCATAGTGCAAAGAGGTGGTAAATATGAAGTAAGACACTGACTTATGTCGAGGTGTGTGGGCAAAAACAAGCAGGCAGTTGGGGACAAGGAGCAGGGTTTATATATTGGCAACATGCTGGAGAGAAAGCCCTTGGGGGAGGGGGTTGGAGGTTGAGGAGATCTTATATTGGGGAAGTATAGTGCTGGAGAAGGTTCAAGTTGGCAGGTCTTTGGTGAGGTCTTGTTCTGGAGTGGATTGGCTGGGCCAGGTAATAGGAGAAAGCTCTGAAGAAGGCTAAAGGCCAAGGACAGGAGGCTCGTGGTCTAACATTGGGGGTCGGGGGAGGGGAGGCTAGCTGCCACAAGATACATGTAAAACAAAAGGCTTATGTACAGTAATAATGATCATCCCAGTTGTGATAATAATATATTGCCCCAATTACTAGTTGACTGACTGGTCTAGGGGATGATAATGATTTATATGCTTTTTTTCCTCTCCTTTGGGAATTTGGGGTTTCCCCTTCCCCCATCTTAGCTTCACCAAAAGAGAAAAAAAGTCTTCTGTCTCTTTAAAGGCAGAAAACCCTCCCAAACTCTCCATCATAAATAACACTAGTCAATGATGGTAACTACCATTTTTTTTTAAAAATCAAGGGTAACAAATTTATAAGCAACAAAAAGACAATCATTTGAGCAACAATTCATTTGGAATGCCAGTCCCTGCATAGCAGGTGATAGAAAACAGAATGGGCATTCTCCCTTCATTTTTCTCCTTCCTGAGGAGGGAAAACAGGTATTGAATACTTCCAATAGTGAACAGATCATAGAAACCTACCACAGACAGAGGAGGAGAAAAGGAAGGTGAGAGGGACTCAGTGTATGTATATATGGCTTACCAGCTCTCTGCAACCTGCTACTTCCTCTGGCTTTGTTTAAAACTGTCCCTATTCCTTTGGCTTCCCAACATCCTCGTTGGGTCTCTTTTAGGGCAATGGTACTGTACATTTATACTATCTTTCTGCATGAATATTCTGTAGGCAATACCTTCCTTGACAGATTCCCACCATAGTTAGTGCTGCCTCTGCTCTAACATCTGCAGAGCTTGGTCAAAATAGATTTTTCATCTCCTCCTTCCCAGCATTCTCAACTAACTCCAATATTAAACGTCAGAGGTCCTGTAAACTCAGGGTAAAATGCCGCCTTGTTGCCGTGGTTACTCTCCACATCTTGAGTCCCCCAGGCAACAGTCGCTACACTGGCAAATAAAATAGGAGATAAAAGCTCTCTGTAGACAGCTAGGGGAGGGGTTGAGATGGAAAGGTTTGAAATGATCTAGGAGAGGATAATGGTAAATCAATCAGTAGGAAATAAAAATATTAGCCTGTAGCAGTTAAGGACCAAGTTGAGATCAGACAGCATAAATTTATAGTGGATTCAACTGTCAGGCCAAGGAAATTGTCCAACAGCATTCAGCAGCACAGGAACAGGAACAGAGAAGGAGGATACATGTTTGATTGATAGATAAAATAGAGAATTTATTAAGTATTTTTTATGTACTGGGCACTGTGCTAAGTCCTAGGGATACAAATATGAACAACACAGTGCCAGTCCTCAAGAAACTATACTCTAATTGGGGGATGGAGAGATGCATATAAAGAGGAGCAGGGGTGGGGTACAGGAGACGTCTAGGAAGTAGCTAGAGGGCTTTGTTCTGGGTAAAATAAAGTAAAAGCTCATATGGATTGGAGTTCAAAGTTGTGATGGGGGAGTTAAAGACCTTGGCAGGAGATTAGATAAGTGAGAAGAAGGTCTAGTGATGAGAGTATCTCAGTGTTAGTTTATTAGATGTGAGGGGAAATAGGACAAAGGGATAAGGAATTAAAAGGTAGAGTTGTAAGAAGTTGATGATAAAATTAAATTATTATCATGGAAGACCTGGGGTCAAATCCCTCTTAAGATGTTTCTAGCACCGTGATCCCAGGCCAGTCTCTTAAAGTCTTCATGCTTTAGTTTCCTGACAGTAAAATGAAGGGGTTGCCCTCAATGGCCTCTAAGGCCCCTTGTGGCTTGAAATAAATGATCCTAATAGGCACTATCCCCCTGCCTCCCCTTTTACAAGAGGAAGGAGTAGGAAGACCTGCATATTCAAGATAGTAATGATAGTTAATATTTATGTAAGTGATTTACAGCAAATTGAGTGTGTTGGCCTTCACTTCTTCCTCCATTGAAACAGTACCTTTTTTCACACAGACAATTCTAGAAACTTGTTTTTGGGGCAGGTACTATGCAGATGATAAATTGTATTTATATATAGTGCTTTACAAATATTATCTCACTTTAATGTCCTAGTAACTCGGTGAGGTAAATGTTATTATTTTCTCCATTTTACAGATGGGGAAACAAGCTAAGAGAAATTAAGTGATTTACCCAGGGTCACACATCTAGAATTCACAGGTCTTCTTATTCCTTCCTCTCTAAAAGGGGAGGCAGGATGATGGTTCCCATTGGGATCATTGATTTCAAGTCAGAAGGGGCTTTAGAGGTCATTGAGTTAAGCCCCTTCGTTTTACCCAGGAGGAAGGTAGAAGCAGGAAGAGTCGATTTCAAATCCCTAAGTGTGTCAGGCTGCATTTGAATGTACGTCTTCCTCACTTTAGGTCCAGCACTCTGGTCCACTCTGACACCCGGCTAATCCGACCTTCTCATTTAGCAGATAAACTGAGGCCCATAATATATGGCTGGTCCACGGTCAAGCAGGTATAGTTATTGGCAGAATTGGGATCCATGCCCAGGACCCCCCGAGGAAAGATCCAGCTCGCTTTTCCACTCCCTCCCATTTCTGTTTCCGAAGATATTCATCTTGTGTTCACATCAGGAGTGACCAGGGAGGCCGGACGCCGCGGCCCCTCAGCCATAGCCCCTCCCGCCCTGGGGCTCCAGGCCCCCGGCGCCGCGGCGTCTTCAGGGCGTGGCCAACGCTGGGGCGCGGGGGCACCTTCGGGCTCGCCGGTACCGAGGCATTACTGCTAATAAACGGCCATTGGCCATGGCCTAGTTATTCAGGCGGGAGGGATTTTTAAAACCTTTCTGAAAGTGCCGGGGACTTGGGGGCGAGGAGAAAGGTGAACTAGAAAGTGAGGAGCCCGGAAATAAAGGGCTCGGGCTCCGCGGGGCAGCGCCCTGGGCGGGGACAGCCCCCAGACAAAAACGGCGAATCTGCCCTCGGTCAGCCTCCACTTGCTCCGAGGATTGGCCGAAAAGCAACAAAGGAGAAGGGGCGGGACCGCCCTTCCCGACCAATCCCGTGTGTCGAACGCTGTGACCGCTTCCGCGTGACGTCATTTCAGTGCGCGCGTGCTGGGGGGGGGATCCGGAAAGATACCCGAAGTGCCTGCTGGGAAAGGCTTTGCTGGTTTCCTCGGGATAGTTTCACTTAACATCCGAGAGGTGAGCTGCCTGCCTGCTGCGTTGTGGCCTTGGGTGGCAGTGTCTGGGTGTGAGGTGGCTCCGTCTCACCGTGGTCACCCACGTGCGTGGGGGGGGCGGGGCGTTAGTTACTTACGAAATGGGGGAGGAGGCGAAGGGAGCACGGACCTGCCCGTGCAGCCGAGAGCCAGTGGCCTTCTTATCTCTGGAGCGCCTATTACAACAGATCCGCCTGGGGAGCCCTAAAAAACATAGGTTTTTACTGGAATAGAACGAACATTGTTGCTTTACCTGTGTATAATCAGTCAGCCAGTACTTTTAGAATTTTAGAATTGGAATTAAAGTCAGCGAACATCTATCGTTAACCTACTCTGTGGCTACCAAAGTGGGGGGGGGGGCGCAGACAGTGCGTTCTCTCAAAGAAGTTACAGTCTAGTACTTAGTGCCTGTTTGGACACATGCAAGAGAGGGCAGTGATCTAAGCTGTTACATGGTAATTGTATAGAAGAAGTACAAACAGTATCAGGAAAAAGCAATCAGCAAATATTTATGGAGCGCCTACAGTGCTTCCCATAAATAAGGGAAGGGCCATGAAGGAAGCAGCTAGAGAAGGGGATTTACATCATTCTAAATATAGGGAGTGGTGAGTTGTAAAGGAGCAAAGAAAGGCAGGATGTGATTGAATATCTGCACAGCCTGGTTAGGCTAGCTGAGAAGTGTGTTTCAAGGAGTGTAGCCTCTGAAAACTTCAAAGGAACTAGGTTCCTAGCCTAAGGATTTGGTATTTTATTCTGCTAACAAGGGTGAGCTCTTAATGTCTTAACTGGAGAGGAACTTGGTGGTCATCTAGTTTTTGGCAGTGGTTGCTGTTTGAACAGTTAAAGTGATAGGGAGCTCGCTACTTCATAAAGCAGTCATTGATCATTTTGAAATAATGGCTGTAGTTGTTAATAAGGGCTTTGGAGATATAAAAGGACTGTAATAGCATTGTACAGTAGCCAGTAATTAGTAAAGAAATGTTTAAGTGAATGTTAAATGACCAGGTCTCTACTCCTAAGGAGCTTACACTCTTATTAGAGGAAAAGAGTATTATGTTCTGAGAAACAGTTTTATAAAACAACATGACTATATAGTTAAAAGTAAAATTCATCAGGGAAAGCCTCATAGAACAGATGAGACATAAAGGATGAATAAGATTTGGATAGACATTTCATTTCAGTCTGAAATGAGTACATAGGCAGGACTGAATATAGGATTTAGAGTTGGAAGGAACCTTAGAGATCATTACTAAACTCTTTCATTTTACATTTAAGTAAACCCGTTCCTGAAATAGTTGAATCATTTGCCCAAGATCACTCACACAAAAAGTAAATTGAAGAGTTTGGATTAGAATCCAAGTCTCCTGACATCAAATTTGGTGCTGTATGGGAGCTGAGGTTGGTGAATCTATATTATGTAGTGTTTTGAGTGCTGAATTGAGGAGTTTGAACTTAATCTGATAGGTAAAGAATTGGCTACCTACTTGGGACACATACTTTGAGAGGAAAAGAGTTAATTTTGGGGTTTGGTGGATTTGGAGAGACCATAAAAAATAAGAAATTAGGGCAGGAAAAGCCAGGCAGCTTGTCAGTCTGAGAAGATAACTTCACACTGTGTTGCCATTCATCTTGCAGGCTCCAAGCCATTAGTTGTGGTGAAGAACTTGAGATTTTGGAAAACCAGAAGGCAGAATAAGAACTCTAGATAGGACATAAAGGGGCAGGATTTAAGAGATGAAAAAAGGAGGGTTTCAAGGGTGAATTTTGCAGTTTTGACTGATACCCCAGGGTCCTCATGCCGCAGATACTCAGGCAAATCCTTTGCTTGCTTTTGACATCAGTGAGCAATGCTAGTGGAACAGTGGAAGGATAAAATTAATATGATGGCAGTATGCAGGAGAGATTTGAGAAGATGCAGGAAAATCTATTTAAATGAAATAGCCTATTGACTAGGGTGGTAGCATTTGAAGTAGAGAAAAAAGGAAGACTGAAATAATTTTCAAAAGAAGAATCCACAAAATTTGGTGTGAGATGGGAGATAGCTGAGGGAAGGGAAGAAAAATATAGTTTTCAAGCTCAAGTGACTGGAAGAATGTGGTGGTATTTTAACAGAAATAGACAAGTTTAGATTAGGAGCTATTTTGAAGGGAAAGCAGATAATTATAAAATGAGTTTGAGGTAAATGGTTAGGCATTCAAACAAGTATTAGGAAAATAGGAATATGGGAACTCGGCAAAAGGTCTGTGCTCAAGATGTTCCATCAATTGCTTACCTTCTTTGGAACTCAGTTTCTACAGTCTCAGTTCAAATTCCAGGTCTGCCACCTACTACCTGTGCAGGTTTTTGAAGATTGTTTTCAAAATTGCCAGCTGAAGGATGAGAATAAAATTTCTGAAAGAATGTAGAAAGGAAAATTGAGGACCTAATTGAATGTCCATGTTTAGGAGATGGAAGGATCATAGATTTAAAACTTGGAAGAGAGCTCAGAGATTATTTGGACCAGTTGCCTCATTTAAGAAAATTAAGGCCCAAAGAGAGTAGAGGATTTAGCCAAGGTTGTACAGGTATTGAGTGGCAGAGCTGCACTGAAGACCAAGAGGAGGAGAAGAGAGGAGAGCTGAAGGAAGAGAGAATGGTTGAATACAAAAGGAGAGGAGGAAGGATAGCATCATGGTCATATGGTCCAATGAAGTGAAAGAGAGTGAGGGCCCACAGAGTTGTTGAAAATTTGGCAGATTGGGGAAAGAGAAAGGAACAAGCATTTATGAAGCACCTACTATGTGTCAGACACTTTACTAAACTCATTACAATTATTATCTCATTTGATTCTCACAACAACCCTAGGAGGTAGGCTCTATTATTATCTCCATTTTGCAGTTGAGAGAACTGAGGCAGATAGAAATTATGTGACTTGTCCAGGTTCACTTAGCTGAGAAGTATCTGAGGCTGGATTTGAACCCAAGTCCTCCTGTCTCCAATTCTAGCACTTTACAGTATCACCTAGCTGCTCTGATTAGAAAGTCATTGGTGATCTGTGCAAGTATTATTTCCAGTAGAGTGGTTGGAAATGGCAGAGTGAGAAAGAGTGTCTATGATTTGTTGAATGAACAGAGAGAGAAATGAATGCATAATTTTTGAGGATACTCCTGTAAGGTGTTCAGTCATGAAAGGAAGAACAGAAATAGTATGGTTACTTAGAGAACTACTTAGGGCCAAGTGAAGATTTTTTGTTTTTTGTTTTTTTTTAAGGGAGGGGAAGACTTGTATATCTTTGAAGACAAAAGGGAGGAGCCAGTGTAGCGAGAAGGATTGGAGATGTGTGACAGAAAAGGCATTATGGAATTAAGGATATAGAACAGGAAGGGCATCTAGTTCGGCCCCCTCATTTTTTAATTGAAACTGAGACCCAGAGTGGTTAAGTGACTTGCCCAAATCACAAAGTGGCTAAACTAAGATTTGTATCCAGCGCCTCTAATTTCAAATCCTTCACTCCACATCAGTTTGCATGCATGATTATACCTAGTTTTTCTGGGTGGGTGATTTGTGGCTGCAGTCCTAGCTCCTTTGCCTTCCAGAATATCATATTCCAAGTCCTCTGCTCCTTTAACATGGAAGCTGCTAAAACTTGTGTGTTATCCTCACTGTGGCTCCATGATATTTGAATTATTTCTTTCTGGCTGCTTTCAATATTTTCTCTTTGACTTGGTTACTCTAGAATTTAGCTATATTAATTGACTCTTCCTTTCACTTGAACGCTTAGAGTCCAGTGTAGAGTTATTAACTGGCCTAATTTCAATATTGTGTCTCAAGGAATAGTGAGGCCTCAGGAGAAGGAGAAAGAGAGAGCCAGTCGGTTGAGCAGTCAGAACATACATCAATTAATTTCAATGTCTTATTATATGGGCACACCCCAAAAAAGTTATAAGAGTAACATCAAAGATCACTGATCGTAGATCACTATAACAGATATAATAATAATGAAAAAGTTTGAAATATTGAGAGAATTACCAAAATGTAACAGAGACCCAATATTTGTAAAAATGGTGCCGGTAGACTTGCTCAAGGCAGGGTTACCACAAACCTTCAGTTTGTAGAAAACACAACTTCTTTTTTGTTTGTTTGTTTGTTTGTTTTTAGGCAATTGGGGTTAAGTGACTTACTACACAGGTAAGTGTTTGGTCTGAGACTGGATTTGGACTCAGGTCCTCCTGACTTCAGGGCAGGTACTCTATCCACTGCACCACCTAGCTGCCCCGAAAACAAAATTTCTTTAAAGCACAGTAAAGCAAAGTATAATAAAATAATGTATGTCTGTAAGTTAATTTTTTTGTCTCTTAATTTATATGCATTCATTTTCTGTTTTTCAATAAGTCTAGACTACTCGTTATAGGAGTTTACTGGCAAAAGAAAGAGGAAAGAGAGGATAAAAGCTAGGAATAGTAGCATTGTTCACTTAGTGGTCTGTTTCCTTTTGTAACTATGAGTGGAGAAAATTTGTCTCTTTTTGTTGCAATTGATTATCTTTAAACAGGTTTAATTATCAAGCATAACATTATTAAATAGTTAAGTACTTTGATGCCATTGTGATGCCAATATGATGAGCATTACATATTCATGTTTTGTAGCTGAGCTACTCTTTTTCCAATAAAAATTATTCAGTTTGCTCCTGCCATTTTAAAAAATTTAATGCCAGTGTTTGGATCCCACTTCTTCCTGTTCGATCCTCTCTTTCATCTTATTAACATACTAATCTCCTGTATAGCTTTAGTCTCTCTACCTCTACTCCTTCCTTTCTGCCTTTAAATGTATTCTTGTTTTTCCTTTCAAGGAAAAACCTATACTTAAACCTTCTATTTCTTGTCTCCCTGTCATATTAAAGTTCTCAAGTTGAGTGCTGAATACTTACAACTTTCATTTCCTTATTGCCAAAACTCTTTATCTCTTGCATTCTGGCTTCCATTTTCAATATCTCATTGATACCACTCTCTCTAAGGAGGTCATCAGTGACGACTTCTTATCAAGATCTAATGATCTTTCCTTGTTTCTAGCCAAATATTGCAGGAATTGCGTATGAGCACCCTTCCCTTTATCTTTCCCTGGCACCATTAGCCATTTCTTGTAACAAAAGGAAAATATTCCCCTTGTTTCTCGAGTTTTTTCTTTCTCCTTCACTAACCGTTTGTTTTTCTTTTTCTCGCTTACTATGAAACACTCCAGAACTTAGAAGTTTGCCCCCTATTCTTCCCTCAGTTATCTGCCTTGGAAAGCTTCATCCATTTTTAAGACTGCCAAATCTACATGTCTAGCTTTGACCTGTGTTGTTAGATTCCACATTTCCAGCTACATAAAAGACATTTCCACTTGGATAGCCTGATTCACCTGAAACTTAGTATGTTGAAAACAGGATTGATCCCTGCCCCCTTCAAAACTGTTATCTCTTCCTTAATTCTATTTCTACTGTCAAACTGAGCATTTTTATGATTACTCTGATTCGATATTGCCTAGTAGTGAAATCTATATCACTTCTTATCTCCTTTCCTTGTTCTTTGGACAGTAGGCAAATGCATTTGCATAATCAGGAAATAGTCAAGATTTTACTTTATTGCCGTTTGCTTTAAGGTACCATCTTCAGCAACACATTATATCTAAATACAGTAATCGTCGTGTTATCATCTAATTCAGTTTTTATTGGGTACCTGTTATGTGCAAAATATATTATTGTCCTGTTCCCTAGACTCAGAGAGTTATATTTGACTCTCTCTCATATGTCTAATATTTTACCACATCTTATTCGTTTTTCCTTTGATTTCTCTTAAGACTTCCCCTCACGCCTGGGTTATTGAGTAGCCATCTTGTTGATCTCTCTTCCTCCAGGTTCCTCTTTTCTTAACCTTCTTATATAGAGCTGCTAGAATAGCATTCCTCAAAAACTTTACATCCTGTCATTCCATGCAATGATTCCCTGTTGCCAGGATTTCAAATCTAAACTCCTGTCTTCTCTAGCCTCGTCTTTTGTAGCTCTCTAATTTAGCCCCTTTGTTTTAGTCAAACTAGCCCATTTTCTATCCCCTGTATGCACCTTGCTCTGGGCCTTGATAACTCTGGGTCTTGACATATGCCATTTCACTCATGCAATTTATTTGTTTTTCCCCTGCCAGTTCATGTTTTCTAGGCCTGCTTTTAGGAAGCCTCCTCTGGCTATTCCCACATTACCACTTAATTTATCATGTCTGCATACAAAATCCAAATTTTGTATAATGCCTACAATATAACATACTCATTTTGTATTTTATTATCCTATACTTATAAATAGAATCTGATTTTTTTAAAAAAGGTAATTGATTTTTAGCCATTCTTTGGACACAGGACTTCATGAGAATGGATTTTACCAGTTAGATCTCCTATAGAGTATTGGTATTGGTAGCCTAGGTAATATTAAGTATTGTTTGTTGGTTGGGCAGGAGGTATACCAAGGACTAGTGTCTTGCCTCAGCCTCTTATGAGTATGTCATATTAGACTTCCAATTTCTTTTACTATTTTCCAGTCTGTTATCTTAGGTCAGTGATGCAGGAATGCTGGTTAGTGAAGCAGGACAACTGCCACCAACGAATCAGACTGCCACATTTAGAAACAGTGGTGATAGGACGTGGTCCAGAGACCAAGATAACCGATAAGAAATGTTCACGACAACAAGGTAAGTAGTGGCTACAACTAAGCTTAAAGAGATTCTTATGTCACCTGATGACTGCAGGGTCAGCTTGAGAAGTATCAAGTTTAGAAGAGTTGATAGTGTTGGAAAATTCTGTGCTGGCTTCCAAAAGAGAACCCAGTTGTTGAGCTTTTTCACATGTGCCTGGTTACAGTTTATTTCCAGTTCCATAAGCGTAGGGATGTGGCACTTTTCCTTTATCCCATGATTATGGGGCTGATTTCAGTTGCCCCTTCCCTTAAAGACAAATAAATAGGTTTCAGATTCCCATTGTGATGAAAAAGATGAACTCTAAGGTGACCATAGGCCATAAATGAGCATGGGAGGTTGAGTTAATAATGGCTAAGGTGGGTGGGGGGGTCTTAGCTCTTGAGATTTTATCCTTTGCTACCTAGTTTCTAACCTCAACAGTTGACTTAAATTGCCCTCTTTAAAGTAGCAGTTTTTAAACACGTTTTTTAAAATTTTAGTTAACAAAATTCTATTTTTTCCCTTTCATCTTTGTTTTCTTCATTGAAAGAGAAAGAAAAACAAAACTATTATAATAAATCTTTATAGTCAAGCAAAACAAATTCCTGCATTGGCTATTTTTAGAAATGTCTTGTTTATGGCTTCATCTGCACCCTGATTCTATCACTTCCTCCATCAGGAAACAGATACTTTGTTTGGTCATGAGCCCTCTGGAATCACAGTTGATCATTTTTGATCAAAGCTGTTAAGTCTTTCAAAGTTCAGCATCAATGCAGCAAGCCTCTGAGAACTGAAGAACATGAGGGTGCGTCCTAAGGAGAGCTGAACCAGCCCAGGTCAGAAGTGAGGCAAAGCAAGACCCCCCCAACCTTTTTCCACATGGATTGTCATTGAGCTGTTCTTCCCCTGTCTTGTCCTTATGAAACTGATTTTTGAACCAAAGGATAGGATGTTATCTTATTATTTCTCTTAAATTTCATCCTGTTAGAAGATCCAAATTGTAGAAGACATTGAAAACCATGCAAAGAACTACAAATTTTATTACCAGAGAAATAACATGACTAAATATGCAAATGCCAGATGAATCTGGCAGCAGTCTGTAGGATGGATTAGTAAGTGGAGATTGGAGGTGGAAAGACCTGTTAGGAGATTATTACAGTAGTCTATATGGGAAGTAATTAGGTCTTATACTTAATATGCATTAACAAACATTTATGAAGCATTTACTCTGGGCCAGGTACCGTTTGGAAAACAGAGGTGTGGCTTAAGGTGAAAAAGATTTCAGACATATATGTATCTCAAGGCACTGGTCACTCTCAGGCCTCTGAGGTCACTATCTCTCCTGGGTCATGCAAGCCCTGCATCTTGCAGCAAGGCAGCATCAGCACTTTGAGAGACAAGACGGGCCAGGTTCCGCTCTTTATTGAGGGCAGATGACCTGCAGAGGATTTTGAGAGTTCTCCAGGAGAGCATGTTAAATCAATCTACTTCGCGTGGTATTGGTTACCCAGTACTGTTAGTCTTGCTGGCGAGTGCTAATGACATGCCCATCAACTACCTATTCCCAAATCCTTATCTCGAGTCCTGAGCATTCCTGCTTCTCCCTACACCACCTCGTACCCAGCTTGCCCATCTTCCAGGTTTTTCTATCTGTGCTGCAGATTTGTGGTTGGAAGCAGGAGGGGAAGGGGATTAAGGGCACTGGCCCCAGGGATAGGAGCAGCAATGCCTATTAGCGGTGCGGGACAGAAGGAAAAGAGAGATTGAGGGGTGATGCTGGGAAGCTGAGGAAGGTCACTCCCAGGTGAACACTCCTAGTGTTCTCAGGCATGTTTAGAGTGGGGAGCCTGAGGAGAGGCAGAAGGGTTTGGACCAGCCCTTGTGGAATTGGAACTAGAAACAGTGATGAGAAGGCCCCATGGCTACCTCCAGAGACAGCAATGCCAAAACATTGTAAGAAATAGCTGATGTATGCCAATAGTGGTCCAGTGACCAGCTCATCCTGACCGTTAGCAGTGTGTATACAGCAGTAGTAAAGGATGGACAGATTCTCAGGACATTCTCTGATGAGCTTACAGCCTGCACAAGAGAGCCCTTGTCATTTCTTTTGAATCCAACTATTGTACTAGTTTGCTTAAAAACTAGAAATAAGCCTTTTGCTTTCAGCAGACACATTGTGTTGTGATGTACTAGAAAGAGGGCCTGAAGTCAGAGAACAGTGTTTGAATCTCACTTCTGTTATTACTTACCTGTGTGACCTTGAGCAAGTTACTCTTGACCTTTCTGGCCCTCATCTGCAAGAAAAATAAAGCTGGCTTTTGTATAGCACTTTAAGGTTTGCAAAGCACTTTATATATGTTAAATTATTGGAGCCGCAAAACAACCCTCAGAGGTAGGTTCTCTTCTCTCTTTTTCCTCATTTTACAGATAAGAAAACTAAGGCCAAGAGGGTTTAATGACTTGCCAGAGGTCACATAGCTAGTTTGAAGAGTTGGTGAGATCAAACTCAGGTCTTTTGGACTTCAAGTACACCACTCTATCCTGGGATAGGACTAGGTGAGCTTGAAGGGAGCTTCCAGCTGTAAAGCTCGGATCCTATGATCTAATCAAATGAGCCAAGGGGCTAGTAGTAAGGCTTATTAGGAAGGTGACACCTCGTGGAGACAGCATGTGTACTATTCATTAAATAAGGTATGAAATCAACACCTCACTCCATGACCTCCCAGTAGAGGAAAGAATCATTTCTCAGTCCCATAGAGACCCACTGGACACTACTTCTCCCCTAAAGATCTTAACAACTGATAAGAAGTATGCCATAATATTTTTATGATAATGTAGTAGCCTATTCTCTGAACCATTTCTTTCTTTAGGTTTCAGTATTAAACATTTTACATACTCCTTTCATTACTGGAAACCAGTGGTATATCCTGAGATTTGGATAAATGAAAAACATAGTTTCAGAGAAATATCAGCAGTAGATGACATATTTATAATGCTAATTACCTACCTCAGAATTGTGAGATTCTGGAACAAATTATTCTGTTCTTCACGTTGCTTTTCTATACCATGGAGTACATAGGCTTTTTCAGTAGAGAATAACAATGTCCCATTTATGGTAGAATCTCAGGGTTCTAGAATCAAAGGTTTGATTTTTTTTAAAGGAACGCTGCTATCTTACGAGATTTCCTTAACCTGGGGAAATTTGGCCAAGTGCTGCAAACCCTGCTAGGCCCCTGAAGGGAAAAGTATTTGTCAATCACTTACTATGTACAAAGCACTGTGCTAAGTGCTGGGGATACAAATAGAAAAGTAAGACAGCTGTTGCCCTCAAGGAGCTTATATTCTAACAGGAAGAGTCAACATTTATTGGAGGGTTCAGCTTTAGGATACATAGGAAGGCTCTGTAGAATACCAAAGCACATGCTAATAATTTTAATTAATGTCATTGCTGTTGATGAAACCATGTCTGTTTCTGAAGTTGAACATTTGATAATGCCAGAGACTTTGGAAAGAACTTTCTTTTCACAGTTTTCAGTAGCTGTGGCTGCTGAGGAGGCAGCACTTGCAACAGCGGAGTGGCTTCCATGAATGATGGCTTCAGGAGCTGGATTGGAAGCAAAGTCAGTGGTCTAGGGGTTGATGGTATTCCTCAGGCTTTTGGGTATAGGTGTCTGGGCTTCATCTGTTGGGGTATGAGAATAGGTAGTGGCACAATGAAATCCACAGAGTATTGTTTTTCATTTGAACAGCCTTTTGTTACCCTGAAAAGCTGTCATGTAAGCTTTTGGGCCTATGTCTCTTGGGTCCTTCAGCCAGCGTTATAAATTCTGAAGCTGTCTATTTGTGCCAACATTAAAAAGACTTCAAAAGACTTATGGAGGCCTTAAGAAAATGGTGATTGTTCAGGCTTCCCATTTGGGAGGTGATTTGGGGAAACCTTGTGGGACCATGTTGAGTCATGCTTCATATTAAGATTTTCCTTTTTCTTTCCTCCAGGAAGAGTAGGAAAAACTTGTATTTTTAAAGTATTAATTTTTTTTTAAAATCTTTTTCAGTACAGTTGAAAGCAGAATGCAATAAGGGTTATGTCAAAGTAAAGCAGGTATGTGTTTATTGGTTTCCTTGGGTTTATTTAGCATTTTGTTTTTGTTAAATCTTTTTAAATTTAATTGTTTTATTAACCAGTTTTGTTTTAACAAATCATACAGAATCCCAGGGTCCTCAGTATTGAATCCCTTACAATATACAAGCCCTCAAAATAATTAAAGAAAACAATATAAAAGAGTAAGCCAATAGTACCTACAACCTTAGACTTGGGTTATTTTTCGTTTCATTATAAGAAAGATTAGTTTCATAAATTACTACCAACATTGTCCAGTGCTTTTGATTTAAGTTTTATTGCCCTTTGGAGTTGCCTTCATTTATATAATTGTAGTATTGAAGGTCACTGAGAGTAGGACCTGGAGCAGGGGAGTTCCCAGTGCCCTAATATAATGTCTTTCACTTGGTTTTCTTAAATATTTGTTGAATTGAATGTGGTTCTACTTTGTTCATTCTTTTCTCCTAATATATTTTACCATCAAACAATCATATATTAAGTACTTAGCCAGGCACTGGATTATGTTCTAAGGATTCAGATACATAGAATGAAAACATCCCTACCCCATGGTACTTGCATTTTACATGTTCACATGTTCTTTTTTTTTCCTTCCTTTTTTTTGATATGAGGCAGTTGGGGTTAAGTGACTTGGCCAGGGTCACATAGCTAGTAAGTATCAAGTGTCTGGTCTGAGACCAGATTTGAACCCAGGTTCTCCTGACTTCAGGGCCAATGCTCTATCCACTGCGCCCACATGTTCACATATTAATACATGTTCATATATTGATACATGTTTACAGATAAGAAAGTTATAGAATGTATGTAAGATAAATACGCAGTGATTTGGGGAGTCGGGGACACATAAGGGGGATCAGGAAAGGCCTTTTGAAGGAGGTGGCCCTTAGCCTGAGCTTTAAGGAAAACCCAAGATTCCAGGTGGTGCAGGTGAATAGGAGAACATCCTAGGCCAGAGGGACAGACAGCCTGTGCAAAAGCGCAGAGGTAGTGTGTGCTGATCCTCAAGTTGGGCAGTTTGGCGGGAGCCTGCCAGTGTGTGAAGGGGAGTAATATGTAATCAGCAAGAAAGATAGGCTGGAGTCAGCTTGTGAAGGGCTTTAAATACCAAATAGAGGGGTTTATGTTTATCCCAAAGGGTAATGGGGAGCCATTGAAGCTTTTTTCCAAGAAAGGAGTCAGTCCTAACGTAAATCAAACCAAAGTATGAATTCTTTGTTCTATTGTGAAGAAATGCTTTCCCCTCACAGTGGTGAGAATTGCACATATATATGGAGTGGATTGTAAGCTGGAAAAGTCTTGGGGTGAACCCTTTACTAGTGGTATGAAAGAGGATGTTGGCTGGATCTGGAGAAAGTAAAGGGAGCTGGCAGTGAATGAGGTAGGGAGATGAATTGGCCAAGTTACTTATTGGTCTGGCCCAGGCTTGCAAACACGGAAGGCAGATGTACCAGTTCCATTCTGTACTTTTTAGGTTTATTTTATTTTATATTATTTTCCTTAGTTGCCAGTAAATTTCTCTTTAAAAATACAGCCTCTTGGAGTGTCTCTTGGACAAGCTAAGGGGAAAGAAAGCAGTGGCTGTACTGAAGCTCGAAGCATATTAATGATAACAGTGGAGAGATGAAGAAGGGCTGCCACCCTAATAACTCTTAGTATCCCAGCCAATAAGGGTAGAATATAGAAAAAAAAAGAAAACTTTGCAAAATCCTATTTTCCTATAGTGGTCTTAGTTTAGCTACGTTTAAAATTTTCCTTTTTGGTGCAGAAAGGTTTTGGATTTCAAATAATCATCTTAAAAATGAGCTTCTGGAAGCCATTCTTCTAATTAGGGACTTCTGTTAACAGAGGAGAGCACATATGCATGTGCCCCTAAAAATCCTTTCCATTTTGCTGCACTGCATCAGATATGCTCAAGCTACTTGGCAAAGAAAAGACTTCTTTTACCTTAATCTGAACCCTGAGTTGGATGTTCTCCCAGTCATTGGACACAGCCCCAGAACATTTAATACGCCCTCTCACTTTGTCCAAGCCAAGCAGTTTATTTGGCTAGGGAAGACAGTATTGTGAGCTAGTTCCCAGTACCTGGGAAACAGTAGTTATTTCCTAAGTGTTGTGTAATCCTAAAGAAGAACCCCCATCCTTTCCTTACCATCCACCTCCCCTCTTCTCCGTCTCTGCCCCCTCAGTTTTCTCTTTGTTATGCTCGGAGGCTGTTGGAATAGACTGGAATATGAGAATAAGAGACAGTTCCCTGAAATCAGGTTATCATGTTGTTTCTGATAAAATCTGTGAGTTAGGAATATGGCAAGTATACCTGTAAATGTAAAGCACTATATAAATGTATGTTGTCACTCTTATTCTCTAGGAAATTGTTTGAAATCTACCCTGACTGCATTGGTCCATCTGCTAGTTATTTCTCACTTTAAGTACTAAATTATTTTCCTTCAGTATCCTTTCTACCATCCTTACATCCTGCTGGTTTTTTGGTTTTTGTTGTGTTTTTTTAACCTGATCTATCACTTCATCAGGGTAGGGAGCTCCAGGTAAAAAAATTCCTCTACCAATACAGATTGGCACCTACTTTTCAACTTCTAGTCTTAGAGAATTCCTGGGGACTTTAAGAGGCCAAATGACCAGTGGCACACAGCCAGTACATGTAAGAAGTGGGACTTGACCTCAGCCCTTCCTGATTCCAAGGCTAACTATCAATCCATTCTGCTATGCTTTTCTCCTCCTCTCTTCCTTTCTAAATACCAGAGAGTCCTGTCTCATGTCCACTCTTATTCTTATTTCTCGGTCTTCCTTATCTGTTGGATCAGGCTCTATGTTGAACTATAGCAGCATGTGGTACCTGGCTTTTTATTTTTTTAAGCTTACCTCTGTCTCTTTTCCTGAAAGGTAAGGGAGTTGCCTTAGAAAGACTACAATTCTGAGGATTAGTAAAAAACTGAAATAACCTCAGGAAGCAGTTGGTTTTAGATAGAGGCCCTTTCAGATTTAAACTAAGAAATTTTAAATCAACAAGTCTTTCCCTTCTTTTTTGTATCCTCCCTGTTGCCTGTCCTCTTTCCTTTTTTGATATAAACTTTGATTTCTAGGGAGTAGCTCTGTAGCTTTAGTTTTTGCTTTTGTTTTTTTAAAGTGCATGGTTTGGTTTAGAAATGTTTTTTCTTCTCTCCATTGTCAGAAAGTTCTGGTAAATGCAACACAGGTATATTTGTATCTCTTAGGAAACTCCCAGTGTTCTTTCTTTCATAGATGGGAGTCAATCCAACCAGTGTTGACTCAGTAATTATTGGGAAAGACCAGGAGGCCACGCTAAAGCCAGGACAGATTCTCCACATTGTGAATGAACTTTACCCTTACACTGTACAATTTATAGAAGAAACTGAGACACCTGTCCTGGGAAGAGAAAGGAAGAGGAAGAGGCCTGGTGACAATAACCACAATGAAAAGGGTGAGGACAATAAAGCAGAAAAGGTGGTGGGAATGGAGCCCTTGGACCGTTCAGAGCGGACTTCAGTTCATAAGCCAAGCAGCGCCAAATCTGCTGAAGCCCTCAAAAAAGGTGACAGTACTTCCAGCAAAAAGGTGAATGGATAGAGGTAACTCGATAGTGATGACAAGAATGTTACTTGCTCATGGCAAGAAAATCTTTGCGTTTTTCTCTCTAATTGTTAAAATAAGTAATTTTTTTCCCATGAAGATTAAACATGGGAGTGGAGATTTTATTTTTATTTGTTATGTGGCGACGGTTTTCAAAGGCACATCCCAGCAAAAACACAAAGCCCCCACAAAATACATTCTAAAAGAGCGAAGGAAAACCACCTCATAGTGATTTTTATGATAGCACATCCCCTTTCCCGCTTTTTAAGCATCCCATTTATTAACGGAAAGAAAGGATGTATGCTTTATTGTCCGTTGTATTTGACTTGTTTCTTGCTGTTCAGCATCGTGTTCATTTATGTTATTGCCATTATATCCAATGTTCTTTTTGCTCTGCTTTCTTCATGTGGAACACCATGCAAGTCTGCCCATGTTTCTCTAAATTCTTATTTGTTGTTTCTTACAACACAGTATTCCATTATCTTCATAAACGACAATTTCCTTAGCCATTCCCCAGATGTTGGTCACGTGATCATTTAAAAAATTTTTATTGATGTTTTCTGTTTCTTACATCACCATGGTATCCTGTGTATCCCCCCCCACTCTCTGAGAGCCATCTTCTGTGACAGATAGTATGTTTTAGAGCGAGGGAAAAAAAAAAGTCAGCACAGCTGATAATACAGTGAGAAAGTCTGAAAACATGTTCAATGTGTAACACCTGTGAATTTCCATCTCCATAAAGGGGTGGGTTGGGGGTGTCTTTTCATATCTCTTCATTTGAGTCCCTCTTGATCATTATAATTTTGTTACATTTACTTTTGACTTTTTGGTATGTAGTTGTTCTTTCCATTTACATTGTTATAGTTACTGTGAATATTGTTTTCTTGGCTCTGCTCATATAGATCTTTCCATGCTTCTCAGCTTTTATCATTTCTTACACCATAGTAACATTCTGTTACATTCATGTGCCATAATTTTTTTAGCCATTCCCCAACTAACAGGCATCTACTTTGTTTCCGATTTTCAAAAAAAGGTGCTGCTATAAATATTTTTGAATTTATGGGGACTTAAGGCCATTAATGGAATCTCTGGTTCAAAGGGTATGGGATCACTTTATTTGCATAATTCCAAATTGCTTGTCAAAATGGTTGTACCATTCATTTTACAACTCCACCAGCATGTATTAATGTGCCTATCTTTTCACAACCCTCCAGCATTGACTATTGTTATTTTTTGTCATTTTTGCCCATTTGCAGGGTGTGAAGTGAAACCTCAAGTTTGTTTTGATTTTTATTTCTTTTATTATTAGTGATTTGGAGCAT